CATGGGACTTGGGGATGGGGTGGGGGCATGGTAGAGATGTTGCCATTCAAAAGTATGAACTTTCATAAGCTAGCTGTTTGTGTACCAGGCACTGCCTATATTCATTCTTCATCAGACTCTTGTCGTACAACATATCCGCATAGCTCGCAAACTGTATCATTCCATGACCTCTCTAGGCAACTAACATGTCCACCTGCATCTCCCAAGAGTCCTTACTGGCACGATCAAACTTAGACTAGACTTTACAACTCTTCATCTGATTCTACTCTTGCCTTCCACAATACATTTTTTACATAATGATCAAAATCGGCTTTTTGAAATACATATCTGATCATATCCTATTCATGTGTAAAATATTTAATGATTTCTCATGCATCTTAAGATCAAGTTCAGAATCTGAACTTGGACTCACCAGGCTGCCCCTTGTGTAAACTGCTGCCTCCCCTTCGTTGCCTGGAGCATGCCTACTCATTCTTCAGGTTCCAGTTTGCATGTCCTTTACTTAGAAAGATATTTTCTGATCGTTTGTCCAGATCCTGTACCTGACTATAAGCTTTCTCAACTCCCAGATTTCCTCTTCAGAGCACTGGCCACATTGCTTAGATATCCAGGTGTGATTTGTTTAGTGTGTCTCTCCACTACCTGGCAATCAAATCCAGAAGCACGTTAACCACACCTAGCATAGGGCTTTCTGGCCCATTAGACGTGTGCACTGCATGGTTGCAGAATGAGCCTCTGTGCCATACATTTTTCTCTTTTGTTTTATAGAAGATGTTGTTCTTCAATTTGAAGGACAATTTATTGAGTTTTTACTGTGTGACAGGCAGTGTTTGTTTAGAGGGCAGGGCAAATTAGCTTCACTGTTAAAAATTAGGGCTCCAAGCCAGAATACAGTGGGTTTGAAATTTTACTAAATTGTGTGATATTGGGGAAGCATTATAACTTCTCCACGCTCAGTTTCCTCATCTATAAAGAAGGGGAGGTAAAGGACAATATCACAGCTGCTTCGTAGGGCCGTTGTGATGATTAAAGAAGGTATGACATGTAGAGTGTACAGTACAGTGCCTGGCCCATGGTAAGTATGTGAAATGTTAGCCATTCTTCTTACTCTTTACTCCTAATACTGTGAAAAATAGGTGTTATGTTATCCCCACTTGCCAAATGAGGAAATTAGATGCATAAAACAGACTTTCTTCAACAACTTGTCTAAGTAAATTCTTCATATCATCTTTTCATGCTAAAAAAAAAAGCTACAAAGGAAGAAAGAAATGAATGTTCTCACGTTTTGAGGGTTGGGACTTGGAGAATATTGGGGTTTGGCAAAGTGAAGAGAATAAATCAAAGAAACAAAGGAAATGTCAAAGCAGTTTCAGGCCTGAGACTTGGCCATCTTTTCTGCACATTAATGTAATGAAACGTAGCCTGTCCGTGAGAAGTGAGAAGCCTAGAGGAGGGGGAGAAACCCCTCCCCCCAGAATCGGGAGGGAGATGGAGAGTCGGTGGAGGGTGACTCGAAGCAGCATCTCCAGGTTGCAGCCGGAGGTGAGAGCAGTGGCTCCCAACTCCTTCCAAAGCTCCACAGCAACTCTGCCGACATCGCCATGTCCTCAAACCAAAGCCATTTGAATTAAAAAAAAAAATCCATGTATGCCACGCATCAATGTGAGAGGAAATATGTGCCAAAGGAAATCAAACAAAAGGTTTGAATCACTGGAGTGGGCATCTTCCTGGAGAGAGGTGAGCCCTGCATCAGACTTAAAAAGGACATCTGGCAGGAACAGGAATATTCCTGGCAGCCCATTAGAAACAGCCTTGAACTAGAAACAACCCAAATGCCCATCTTCAGTAGAGCAGATGCATAAACTGTGATATTGCCACAAAATGCAGTATTCTCCAGCCACAGGAGTGAATGCACTCCCACTGCACTCAACAAGAGGGGTGACTCTCACAAATATAACACTGAGGCAGAGACCCAGAACACAAAGTACAGTCAGATGTCATTTGTATGTGAATTTAATACTAGGTAATCCACATCTAGGTCAGGTGTAGGAGTTAGGATCCTGTGACCCCGAAGGGAGGTAGTGGCTAGAGGTCTGCAGGGGATATTCTGTTCTGTTTCTGTTACACAGACATGGACATTTTGTGACAGGTCACTGACATGTACACTGTTCAGAACAGATGTTATATTTCAATCCACCCTCGCTCTACCACCTGCCATGGTCAGGGTCAACTTAGTCCTGGGTGGACAGGTAGAGTTCTGGTTAGTCAGAAGCGGACCAGTACCAATTGGGATGCTTCTGAAGCGGGGAGCCATGTTGAGTAGAGCTCATGTTTCTGTGGTTCTGAGTCCGGCCATTGCTTTGGTCGCACCGAATTTTACACCTGGGTGTTTCTCCTTGTCCCCGATCCAGACCCAGGGTCTTGCAGCTCCCTTTCTTGACTCAAATGATCTCTAATACCCACCGCAATGTGTGGCTTCCCTGCTGGGTCAGAGGGGCAGCCATATTCTGTTTCTACCCATGGTGTCCTCAGTTGTCTGCATCCATGCCCATGAGGTAGCTGCGGAGGAAGTGCCCAGCTGGAGTAGCCTGATGGAAATCTCTCCTGTGAAACCCAGGGAGGAATTTTAGCTTCTGGACGCCCAGTGGGTGAGCTGACAAGTATGAGGGGCTGACTGTTCATGTGATGGCAGAACAGGAAGGAGGGAGAAACCGGTTGACAGGCTGTATGAAGGGAATAGCTTGGCACAGGCAGGGCCGAGGCTCCCTTTGGAAAAACTGTGGCCGAATGTCTGAGACCCGAGCTGCTTCCCAGCGGTATTTTAAAAACATGAGACGTCGCCTTCCAGTGTGTGCAGAGGTGATGTCCCCAGGCCCCAACCGGACACCACTCCGTGACATCGAAGCTGCGCAGCCCAGATGGCACAGGCCCCGTGCAGGCCTCCTTTGGGCCGTCAGCTGGCTGGGAGAAAACAACGCGCCTCAGCGTGACAGCCCCCACATTCTGCAGACGTAAAAGGGAATCCTCTGGACTCTGCCCGGGCTCCTGGGGCTCAGCCTGGCCGCCCTGAGGCTGCAGGAAGAATAAGAACATGGAAGGGGCTGCATGCTGCTGTCACTGATTCTTCAGGTGACCAGGGACTTTTCTGTCCTGCAAGGATTTTGTAGCCCAAGCATCTTTGTTCCTCACATCCCCTCGTTGTCACTGCTGGTGCTGCCACAGCACCCGGAGCAGCCTCTCCCTGCTTCTCCCTCCCTCTCCCTTACTCCACCTACTTCCATGTTTTATGCTACATTTCAGCCTTTACCTGAATTTGCTTCTCTAACCTCACAATTACTCCACAGGTTGTCCCAGTATTGCTACTCCTTTAAAAAGGCTTCCTTGCTGTCCCTTCCCCAGTCCAGTCCATTCTCTCTGCTCTTCTCTTGCTTTCTTGGGTTTTCATTTTCATTTTCCTTCCATGTCTACAGAGGCAGGATATAGAGAAAGGCCAGCAGAGGGCAAAGAGCACCGAGCAGCACCCGGAGACAGAGGAGCATTTTGGTTTTTGTCCCTGTTGTGTGACCTTGGGCAAACCCTACAGACTCTTCTCGGGGCGTCAGCTTTCTCATCGGCAGATGGGGTTGGGTCACCCACGCCAGAAACCCATGTGTTGTGCCAGTATAGGTGCCATGGGGAATGCAAAGAATAAGACTCTGTCCTGGCTCTTACAAACCTACTGAATCATAATATCTTTCTGTTCTCTCTGATACATAGACTAAATCAATGCATAGATAGATAGATAGATAGATAGATAGATAGATAGATAGATATAATTAATGGGGGGAGTAAACTGTTGTGATAAAAGAATAATCTTATAAGACCATGGGACCCAATAAAATCCCACAGAGAGACTGAATCAGAGTCCCTCTCTCCCTGCTATTACTTTAATTGCATTTTGTGATCAGGTGTAACTCTCCACCCCCTTTTTTCACAACTGAGTGAAATAGGGAACTACCTTAAAGCTGGTTTTTCTTTTGCTGCCACAGAGGTGCACATAACTGCTGGTTCCTGTTGGCGGTGAAAATGGTCTTGAGCAAATGAATGAAGGGCACAAGTCAGAGAATTTTAAGCCAAGCTTATTCCTACTCGCCTAACCCTAGTCGGAGCTCATGCCTGCCCCCTGAACTCCCAAGTGCCCCTAACTTGGTAAAGGATGTTCCCTCCATTTTCTCTCTCCTCCTGTCCAGCCTCCCCACCCTTGAGGCTGGCGGGGCTAAGGCCTGTGCTGCTTCAGGGTATGTTGTGAATCCAAGAAGCATTAAGAATGTCAAGGCTAGGACAACATAAACAACACTTCTGAGAAAACTATGTCCAGCACCCGTGTGGTAAGTTGCTTTTTAAATGTTTTTTTTTTTTTAACTATCAGCAGAGATGGAAGCCTGGCTTGGTCCAGGGCATGAAGCTCAGTGAGGTGCAGACTGTGCTCCTCGGTCCCGGGAGAACGCTGCGGGTCCGAGTCAGCTGCGGTTTGCAGCAGTGCTGGTGTTTGCAAGGGCCTGGGAAGGGCCGGTCCTCGGGCTGACGGGCCGCCCTGCTCTTCCAGGCTGCAGGTCTGCCTCAGTTAGCACAGAAGGCCCAGCTTTCCTTTGCTCCAAGTCGCCGGGGATGATCTGTTCCCCTTTGGCTGTGTCAGTTCTGCAAACCAGATACCAGACCGGCAAGCTCAGGAGAGCCTCCTTCTGGAACCCCCTTTGTTTGGACAGGCCAGGCCTGTGAGGCTTTTCATCTCTTTCGAGCTCCCAGGGCCCAGAGCATTTTAGAGGAATTCCTTTTTTCAAAGGTTTTTTTTTTCTTCTTATTTTTTTGCCCCTTCCAACATTTTGTTTAAGAGAAAATGAGATGTCTATCTTCTGTTTCCTTATTTTTTTTCAGGAAAGCAAAGGGTTGTTGACTTCCTCCCTCTCCCCTCCCTTCCTTCCTTCTTCCCGAAGGTACTCATCTGAGAAAAAGAGAACGAAGTATTGTTCCTGTTCTCTTTCTTAAGTCATTTGAAACACTGTCCCTGCGAGTTCTTTAAGTTCCCTGCAGTCTGCACACGAGAAAAAGAGGGAGAGAGAGGGAGAGGCACAGAGAGAGCAGGGGACCAGGTAAAGCTCGGGGGCTGCTGCAGCCACTCAGACTCAGGAGCTGGTAAGTTACCCGTGCAACTGTTTCTGCTTCCATTTCAGCGTCCCTGGGATGGCACTGCCGTGGGCGTCTCCCCAGAAAATACCTTACTGGGTGTGATCCTTAATCAAAGGGGACGACTGATGGATGGCCCAGGATTTAAACTTACATATGTATATAATTTTTTTAAAAAAGAGAAAACTGATGCATTGCAGAGAGGAGGCTGGCAGAACTGGAAAGAGAAGTGCATTGGGGCTCAGCAGGACAGTGTGTTAAATCTGAATTTGGGCATAGGTAACGTGGCTGGATTAACCAGGAGCCACTGGAACGTGCGAGGTGGCTCATTGGAGAATTCAGCTCCTCCTCGGTGCTCTGCGTTGGGAACCTTACCATGCTGTCTGCTAAGAATTGTGGTTTGCTCTGGGGCTTCTGTGACCCGTTGTCTAGGTTGAGGTGCCCTCCTCTTGTTCTTTTCTTTCCCCTCAGCACCCTGCAGAAGAGAAATGCTAATTTATGTCTGTTATTCTGCATCACCGAGGTAGGAGGGAAAAAAGAAGGGGATGCCACTTGAATTGCACAGTGTGTGGGGGATGCTTCTGTATTCAGGCTCCACATGTGGGACGGGTGTAAATTGATTATCCACTGTCAGTGGAAGATGTCATCTGCCACACAAAAGGAGACAAAGATGTGGGGGCATATGGCTGTAGTTTTGGAAAACGCCAGGTAACTGGGATGGGAAGACTGAGATTGATCGCTTGTGTCAGTAGCAGTGAAGAACTAAGCTATAGATGTAACTGAGACATATTCACCCAGAGCCTGGTTTTCCAAACTCCAAATAGGACGACATAGCAAGCCAGTCAAGCTTAAAAACATATACCTTGTTTTTTAAAGTCTAGATTGTTTTAATTAAGTTTGTCAGAGAGGATAATGTTACCAAGAACTCATCATGGTAAAAGCCAGGAGGGAAGCAAGATCACATTGTCAAAAATAGGCCAGCAAGGTCCCTCGGAAAGACTGTGTAAATTTACTAATATTAATCATTTAATTCAGAGTTGTTGAATGGTTGAAAGACAAAAACCATGCAGAGTTTACATATATATATATATATGCTCATTTCCATGAAATTTACTGGTTGAAGTCACCTGGGATGTGAAGAGTGTAATAAAAATAGCCAGTCTCTCATTTATAAATTAATTTGGCCAGACTATACATTAACCACAATCAAGTAATTAATCTTTATTCTAAACTTTACTCAAGCCCTAACTGCTTTGGCTCAGTAGATAGAGCATCGGCCTGCAGACTCAAGGGTCCTGGGTTCGATTCTGGTCAAGGGCATGTACCTTGGTTGCGGGCACATCCCCAGTGGGGAGTGTGCAGGAGGCAGCTGATCGATGTTTCTCTCTCATCGATGTTTTTAACTCTCTATCCCTCTCCCTTCCTCTCTGTAAAAAATCAATAAAATATATTTTTTTTAAAAAACTTTACTCAAAATCTTTATTCAAGAGCCATCCTCTTAATAAGAGTGAGAAAATATGATAGAACTGGATTGTTATGTAGGTCTTGTTCCACTAGCAGACTTTTTTTTTTCTTCTCCTTTCTTCAAGAGACTTTCCTTAGGAGCACTATAAAATGAGCAACGTAAAAGAGACGTGCTGAGTGAGTGCCTGCTTGAGGATGCAGAATCATTCTAATCACAGTTGGAAGTGGTTTCCAGCTCCCCTACCACCTACCCTAGGCTCCCATTTCATAGATCTTCTGGTCAGAAGGTAGCAGGAACGGATTGGATTGGGCACTTTGCATCTTTTATCAGCAATTGTGACCCCAGTAGAAAACTCAGGGCTGCGATCTTGACTTGCTTCTTTCAGTTTCGCTTTTCCTTGATAATGTATTTAATTTTGTGCCCAATTAAAATAACATCACAGAATGCTCTCCAGTTTGGGTTACTGGATAAACACATAAAACGCAACACACTATTTTTAAAAAGTGACAGCAGAGTTGCATTGACTAAAGATGAGCAAGGCAAAAGGTGATATGCCACTGGCACCCACAACAGCCCCCCTTCTAGCATGAGTCTCCACTGCGGCCTGAGGTTATGGAGCTCAGGAGATCTTCTTTTCTCTTAAAGAAAAAAATATATTCAATATTTCCATTTTGTTAAGTCATTTGCCATGAGAATATTTGATGGGGCAAACAAATTCAGCTACTGACAGAGAAAAAGCCATTGATTAGTTTAGTCTGGTTAGTGCCAATCTGTGTTCACTCCATTCCAAGGAGTGAGCTGGCATTTGTGGAAACTTCCAGTGTGTGATTCTTCTCTGGGGTCATCAGAGGCTCTTTTGTGATATCATCAGGGGAACTCCAGCCTGGAATGGTCCAGAATTTGACACACAGAACATGTTATTAATTAATTGGTGCCAAAACTGTACACATACTCTAATTAAATTACAAATATGTCGCATAAATGTGATGTTAGGCTGTGTCCTGTAGGTCTGTGTGCTGGGATGTGGCTCAGAGCAACTAAAGCATGGGCTTTGTTGTTACAAAAATTTGGGTGTGAGTTCCAGTTTTGTGACTTACTGACTGTGGGCCTTATTCCAGGTGATTACTAACCCCTTTAAGCCTCAGTTTTCCCAAATGTAAAATTGTATCAACATAATAGACTTGTTGTGAAGATTAAGTAAGATTATTTATGCAACGCATTTAACAATGTGTGGCAAGTAGTGGGAGTCAATGTCAGTTGTAACTTTTAAAGAGTCGTGTTACTACTTAAGGGTATTGTATTTTTTCAATGTAGGAATAGAATACACCTATTTTAATTTGTGTCATACTTCTGGATCAATACTATACCAAGGGTCTATCAGAACAAAAATTATTCCTCATAGGTTTCAAGTTGGGCACACATTGAGTGAAGATTATTATCCTGAACCCCAAATTCTTGTAAAATAAAGGAAGGTAGAGGCAAATGTTTTGATGTTTCCTTCGATAATGGCGGAAATGCCAGATTTAGCCTCATTAAAATGCCATCTGTGTTCAGCAGAGCTCCGTGCAGGGGAAAGTTTGTCTTGGAATAAAAGTTTTCAATTCAGATGAATGTTGGAAGAGACTGCAGTCATGCTGTAGACCTTTCATTCTCCCTTTCACCCACTTCCCAAGCTCTCAAGCTCTGTGTCATTGGTGACCTGGCCGGGGAGGGTTGCAAACACTTTTGTTGGAGACCATCGTGGCAGTTCCATGACAACCAGAGAGAAAAGGACTTGAAGTAACATGTTGCCCCACCCACCAAGGGTTCAGCGCCCTCAGAGATCCTGCCTCAAACATTTTAGTATTGAGCCACTTACCTTCACACCCATAAACAGAACACAGGTGTCACCATTGTGTGTGTGTGTTTGGGGGGTTATCCAGCTGCTATTTTTCTCTCACTCTAAACTTTAAAACAAACATGCTGGTTAGTTTTTCAAGTAATAATGGTTCTTTAACTTAGATCTCAGTTCAACTTCCCTCTCCACTTTCCAAAAGCAAAACATACAACTGCAATACCCACCCAAATCGACCACCAATAACCCAAACCCATGAGGTTCTTTAGTTAGAATTAGAGGCTCTGATACAATAGAGATTTGTGTGGACAACTTAATCTTCAGAGAGCAAATGGAAGCTGGGTTGTTCTAGCACAGCGGTTCTCAACCTGTGGGTCGCGACCCCTTTGGGGTTCGAACGACCCTTTCACAGGGGTCGCCTAAGACCATCAGAAAACACATATAGCATATCAGATATTTACATTATGATATATAACAGTAGCAAAATTACAGTTATGAAGTAGCAACGAAAATAATTTTACGGTTGGGGGTCACCACAACATGAGGAACTGTATTAAAGGGTCTCGGCATTCGGAAGGTTGAGAACCACTGTTCTAGCAGAAGGTGTCTTCCACCGCAGCTCCTTGCAGGAGACAAAGGCCAGACGGAGTCGGACGTTTCAGTTCTGTTCTGCTACCTCCTGTGTGGGAGACTTGACAGGTTTCTTAACTTGCTTGGACCTCAGTTTTCTCACCTATGAAATGATGGGATTGGAGCAAACCAGTGATTCCTAAGGTGGGGTGTGTGTGTGTGTGTGTGTGTGTGTGTGTGTGTGTGTGTGTGACTGTACCAGAGCTCACCTTCGGGCTTGTTTACACCCTTCTCTCCTGCCCCTGCACTAGAAGATTTATGAGATTCTGACGCTGACATCCTGCGATTCTCTCAAACGGATGGTCAGTGTCTTGTTGTCTTCTTCAGGGTTGCACTGACAATAAATAAATCATATGTTTTAAGACCCATGCTTTTAAGTGGAATTACTATTCTGTTTTGGATGTTCTCTCTAGAAATTAGTTTTAAATATATCAATAGTTATTCTAGAAATCGTATAAAGTAAGTAATATGCTAGTCAGTCAAGCAATCTGATGAGACTGATCAATGCTCTTTAGCCAGACATATATAAATCATAAAAAAGCAAGTACTGAGATCTATAAATATTGTGGTTCTGTATGAATGGCTTTTTTTGATTTATGCATTTCTGTATTATTTATATCTTATAGCGAGCATGCCTTCATTCGGTGATCAAGGATAACACAGATACTACATTTTCCTATTCACTATTTAAAAAATATTGGTAGAGTCAATCTCATAAGTTTCTTTTGGTTTTACTTTGTCTCTACTTTGGAGGGGCAAATTGATAATAGTGTTTAAAAAACAACACTCAGAAGTCATGTTAAGTCTGTTTTAATTATAAGAAAAATCTGTAACTTACAGAAAAAAATTGTTTTGATTTTTCTGATTTTATTTCTGCCTAAATCACTTGATATTTTTCCTCCTATGTTTATACGGCCAATTAAGTAAATCACCAACAGACGCAGGTCTCCATCTGACAGGAACAGAGAGGCAACACATATTTTGATGTACACTTTCAGAAACAGCTAGCCAAATGCCAGCGACATCTAGACGAAAAAACAACCTTTAGAGAAAAGGATAAGAACACATCTTCATCCAAAGTTATGTGTAATATGTAAGCTCACGAGAAAACAAGTATCATGAGGACAGGGACTTCATGTGTTCTCCTGAATGCCCAGAGCCTCGAACAACACATGGCATATACATATAGTAGATGCACAAGAAATATTTGTTGAATAGATGACTTAATAAGTGGGCTGTAGAGTACAATATACTACCTTCATATACTGACAAATGCAGCATTAATAAGTGAAAAAGTTAGTCAGACTTTTTGGGGGTCTGGACAATGCCACGCCAGCCTGCCATATTGACCCCTCCTCCACACTGACTGGAACTGTGGCTTGTTCCACCATTCTGTGCATGGGCTGCTCCATGCAGATACCGTGCCAGCTTGGGGAGGGTGCCATCCACTTGCTCGTGGAGATAAACATTTATCAGATACACATGAAAGACTGTTGGTTGCATTTTATTTTTCATATGTTTTCTGGGCAGATGATGGGTTAGCAGATTATTATTGGCACGGGAGACAGAATGGTCATTTGTTTTTCCGTGGCTAAAAGAGCCGTGAGCCAGGATTCCGCCTTGTAGGAAATGCTCAGCGCTCCCTGTTTTTTTCGGCAGGGCTGTAAACCCAAGTTAAAAAGATGCCACTTGGGCTGAGTTTATACAAACACGAGGGGGTGAGCTCAGGGAGGGAAGTGTGACATCCTTGTGGAGCACAATGCCCTTTCCTTTATGTAATTAGGCCATGGAGACAGCCAAATGACCAGGTCCTGGGTGGAGGCAGTTCTGCACTTATTTGGCAAATTTAAAGTGATAAATATAAATACAATAATAACTTTTTTTTTGGGGGGGGTCTAAGGTTTCTGTTATTTGTGGTAGAAACAAAAGAAGCTCTCTCTCTCTGTTCACATCGATAAAGCCTGTCTCTTTAGTGCCAAGTACCAGGGCACACACAGGCAATTCTGACCCATTCTCCTATTTTCCTTTGCTACGTTAAGGCCTCACTTAAACCTCATTCTCTGATGGCGGCTGATCGTAAGTGGGAGAATGAGATAACCAGACGAGCACCACCACCTTCAATGGCAGCATTCATGGAGGAGTCACTATCACGTGTGGGGCCTGCTGAGAACTCTACAGACATCCTTCCACTTAATCCTCCCATTCTAAGAAGTAGGTGCTTTCTTACCCCCATTGTAGAGATGAAGAAAGGCAACCACCTTGCTTAACAGAGAAACTACAAGTGAGTGATATGTTCGAGGTCACCAGATTGATTTGCTTGCTTACCGGTTTCTCGTTAAGGAGAAGGTGTCATCTGTAATTTATATATATATAAATTAAGTATCCCTTAAGGCAGTGCTCCTCAAAAGTAGTCCAAGGCCCAACAGCATGACGTCACCTGGGAGTTTGTTAGACTCTCAGGCTCCGTCCCAGACCTCCCGCATCAGCATCAGCATGTTAGGACGATCTCCATGTGATTCAGGTCTGAGCAGCACTACTTTAGGGCTGTGCCCTGATGTGTACACAGATTGATTTTGGAGTGTAGGTCCCTGTTCCAAAGAGTTACCAGGTTAACTTTGACCTTGTCTGAGACAACATAACTCCCGGATAGCGGTGTTACTGGACAAGTCTGGGTCTCTTCAGCTCTGGGCAGCATTAGGCATGATTTCTGTGATCTCACTCAGCAAGTTAACCCCATCCCAAGGGACCCTGATAATCTCAGATAGGAAAGGTCTGGGATATTGCTTTTCAAGTGTGTTCTGAGCACCAAACTTCAGAATCACCTGCGGCGGATTCCTAGGCCTTTCCCCAGGTCTAATGAATCTGGGGAGGGGCCCAAGTCTCTGTCTAGTCCACAAAAATATGGCCCAGGGTAAGAAAGTCTCAGCAGGGGCAGTGGCAAGGGACGTTCAGCTTTTTCAGCAGTTTGAAAAAAATATTTAGAAGCAACGGTGCAAGGGAGAGTAGCTCAGAGTCATTCCAGGAAAGAGAGAGACTCTGCCAGCTTTCTCCTTTGCTGGAGAATGGGGACAAGAAGCCCTGCTACTGCCTTGTGTCCTCGGGGAGAAGGGGGGGCCGGGTCCCCAGCATCAACACCAAGGGGCAGATGCCAGAGCACACACCTCACTCTCCCCAGTTAGCAAACCCTGCGGAAAGAATCCTTCGAGTTTCCTCTGCACTGGGGACTCACCGTTCTCTCTTGGAACAGAAATCAAGAGGGGGCTATTGTTGGAGGGGTGGGGAGAGGAAGCAGGGCCGGAAGACAGTGAGGGAGAGGACCGGAATCGCCTCTGGTTTGCTTCAGCCTGGACACAACGGGGCCTCTGCCTGGATGGAGATGGTGGCATCTCCCCCTTCGTGGAGCCCCTCTGGTCTTTGTCCACGGGAAGTAAACGGAGAGGAAAAGCTGCAGGCCTCCAGCGCTGTTTGGTGGAACACCCACCACAACACGACGCCACTTTGTCTCTTGCTGTTTCTCTAGTTCACGCAGTTTTCTTTCCCACAGCCTAGTGGAACTTCCTCTCCTCACCCCACCCTACAGACTTTTTAAGTTTAAAAAAATGGACAAAGAGAGGTCTTCCAGCATTATCCTAAAATCTGTGTATACTGGACACTTTTAAGGTGCTAAGGAGCACTATACTTAATCCGTAAAGACAGGGTTTCTGAGCTGCCAGAACTTGGACTCTCAGAGTGAGGAATATGGTAATTCCTAGGTATATCGAGAATCCTGCCCCCTACCAGATATTTTAAGAGATATGGGCAAGGAGGGACTATTCTGAGCATCGTCTTGACCGTCAGGGGCCATCAAAGATTGCAGCCAGTAAGTTGGCGTCTCCTCCAACATTATCCACCGCCCTCCTGAACCCGAGTCACATCCTGGCACAATCACCCACCTCTGGCTCTATGAAGGTCCCCAGGGATGGAGAGTTCTTACCTCCTGGCTGCAAAAAAGAAGGCTAAACTTTGATCCAGGAAATAGAGGTTTGAATGTGCTGGTTGACACATAAAAATATGGCATATCAGTGAACCCGAATGTATATGGAAAATTTAGTATATGATAAAAAATATCATTGCACTTCAAAGAGGAAAGTTATTACATATTTATTGATGTTGGGACCCCTATGTAGCTATTTGGGGGAAAATAAACTTATATCCCTATTTCTTAAATTAAAATAAATTCCGGATCAAAAATTTAAAATGTTAGAAACAAAAATACTAGAAAGAAATGGAAGATGTATTTTTTTTTAATCTCGGGGTAGGGGAATTCTTTCTAGTTTAACCCAGGCTTAGCATTTATTATACATTTTATTACATTAGAATAAAATCTCCTATGGGGCCTAAACTCAATAAATAAGGTCAAAAGGCAGACAAGAAACTAGGAGAAGCATTTGTAATATGTATCATTAAGAACTTACTATGAACAGAATATGGGAGAGTGACATGAAGCACGCACTTCACATAAAATGAAATATACTTGACTCTTAAATGTGTAAACAATAAAGACACTCATCCTACTTCATAAGAAAATGCAAATTAAAATGATGAGATGCCATTCTTTACCTCCTCAATGAAACAAAAGATGTAACATTTGTTAGCATACAGTTGGTGGGTGGATAAACAAAGGGTGGTATATCTATACAACAGAATACTCCTCAGCAATGAAAATAAACTCCTGTTATATGCAAGTTGTGGATAAATCTCAAAAACATCATGCTAAGCAGACACAGTACTACTTAAGGAGGCAGATATACAATACATATTGAATTATTTCATCCATATGTAATTTTGAAAAGCACAAAATTATGGAGAAAGATTAGTGGTTGCCTGGGGCTCAGGTGGAACTGGGATTGACTGAAAATGAGCAAAATGGAACGCTTTGGAGGTGTTAAAATTATTTCAAAATTGTATTTTGTTAATGACTTCACAAGTGTATAAATTTTCAAAAACTCATCACACTGACACTTAACAATGTGTGAATTTTATATTATATAAATTGATCTCAATAGAGCTGTTAACAAAGTTGAAAATAAAAAGAATGAGGCAGCTCTATATGTTCTGATAATGGAGCAATCTCTAACCTGCATAGTTAAGTTTAAAAAAAGCAAGATTCTGCCAGTGTATAGAACACTATAATTTTTGTGTAAAAATGAAGCCTATTTTTGACATGCATAGAATATTTGTCTTTGGGCAGGGCATGAGATGGCTGAGATGGGGAAAGGTGTGTAAGGGGAAAATTTTCACTGTATATCCTTTTGTACTTGATCAAAAATAATTAGAGAGAGAGAGAGAGAGAGAGTTAGTTTTGAGTGCCACATCTGCTCTGTGATCATGGGCAACTGCCTGAGACTCTATTTCCTCTCTGTAAAATGAAGGAGTTAGACAGTTGGTCCTTAAGGAAACTTCTGACTTTGAGTTTTATACTCTGAGAGTTTAGTTAAGGGCGATCATCTCACACCTGTCTGCATTCCTCTGGTCCTTCCCCACCAGCATGCCATCGCTGCCACATATAAAGCCACAACCAAAGGCTTTGTCTTTTCTCACTCAGATACCTCTCACTTTATTGGGTCCCCGTCCTCTTAACATGTAAAATATGGGTGTCAACCAGGGTGAGAAGGCAGCCCAGAAAGTCGGGTATGTGCAAGACAGCCTGGAGGAGAGGTTACAACCCACATCTTAGGGGCAACTGCTTGACATCAAATCCCCACGCCCTTATTTGCCATGGTGTGACCACAGGTAGTTGTAATTTCTCCATCTGCATGGCAGGTATAAAATCGCACCCCCCTCTTAGGGTTTGTTGTAAGGATTAAGAGTGAGAATTCATGTCATTGCTTAGCACAGTGCCTGGCAATATTCAATAAATGTTACCCCTTTTAATTATTAATCTGAACTCCTCTGCTTATGGACCCTGGAGCTTTCCTGACGGCATCGAAGTTATCAAGCTGTGTACTCATTAACACCATGAACTGGGAGTGATGAAATGGATTTTTTTTCTTTTCAATCCACAACCAAAAGGACAGACTGCAGTAATTTCTGCTGCCCCCCAAGCCAATGTCATTGAGGGAAACTTCTTCTAAGATTTCATCCCTTGGAGGCAATTATATCCTGAAAATGTGACAAATGCAGGCTGTGAAATTGCAAGCCTGTGACATTATGCAGGGGGTTGAACCAGTTAAGCAGCAAGTTTTTATTTGCATAATAAATGTGCCTTAAATTATACTGGAATCAAAACAGCATTAAATATTAATATTAGTGCCATTGTATAACTCCCTCTCCATGGTAGCCATTTAATAAATATGAGTTGCAGCTTCAAACTGAACCAGAAATTTCTATCACCATGAGGTGCACATGCCTGTTTTCTCAACTCTAGCCTCAGTGCAGCAAAGCAAGGGACTATCTACACCAGCAACCTGTCACTTCAAGCTTCTCAGCCATAGACAGCAGCTCCCCTCCCCCCAGAATATCTATCTATATCTATATCTATATCTATATATCTATATCTATATATCTATATCTATCTAGATCTCTCTCTATATATATCTCTCTACATATAGTGTTATGTATATAGTGTTATATATAATGTTTATATATATAGTGTCCCCCCAAAAAATGTATACACACACTTGGAATAATTATAAAGGCGGTATTTATTAAAATACATTTCATTTTCAAAATTGAGCTATCAGCTATTAAAGTATGTATATATATTTTCTCTTAGTGATAGCTCTTAAGTGAATTGAATTCCCCGTATGTAAGGTACCCTTTTGCATGCAATCCTGCTTTACAGATGATCAGATCACATTCTAGAACTAGATCCCAAAGGCATGGTTTAGTTTAGTGGGTGGCCTTGCACACATAATTCTTTCATGTGTCTCGGTTCTCCCTAACTACACTGGAGCAATATTTGTCGGGGGCTGGGTTATTAACCATTTTTCTACTCTCCAGAATAAGAGCTGTCTAAATTCTTTCTGGCCCCACGCTAATTCTGAGATCCTCTGAAAAGCCTCTTGCTGTCCTCACTTTAGAAATGAGGAAACTGAGGCTCAGAGAAGATAAAGGATTTGGATCTCTGGGGGGGGTGGGGGGGGCGTGTCTGTGGAGTTATTGCAAGGAGTCGAGGAGGAGGTGTTTAGATGTCAAGTGTCTAATGTTTGCAAACTGACTAAAACAGTGTT